TCTCTCTCCCTCAGTCTTTGCCTCCTCAGCAAAACATTCTGAAGGCGCTGTCTGCACAGCTTCTACCACCCCCAGGGTCAGTGGCCAAGAGGAGTCCTCCTGGTCCATGGGCTCCAACCTTGCCTCCCCGCTCACCAGTCTCTTTCCTGGTCCAGTCCCAGCTTGTTTCAAGCGGGGTACCAATCTGTGAGTTTTTTTCCCTGTAATGTTTGCTTTTCAGATCATTTTAGGCTTTATTGTCACTTAGAAGAGGAAAATAAAAAAGGAAAACAAATGAAGGATTAATAAGAAGTATCTTTCCCTCAAGATGAATCCATGATTTCTGCTTTACACCATTCTTTTTTTTTGGCCCCTAAAAATATTAAAAATTATCCAGAAAGACTTCTGCCCTTCCAATGTCCCATGAGACTAGTTCGTCTCCGACAAGCCACCTTCGGCTCATTTGATGCTGGGGGTGGAGGGAGAACCGACTTTGGAGTAAGGAAGGGTAGACGTGAGTCTGTAGAAGACCGGTGAGGGGTAAATGAGTCTGTCCGGTGGGGATACCGAGGGCAGCCCCGCAGGTGTGGCTGCTCTGGGCTGCGCAGCCTTAGTGCAGCTGTCTCCCGCTCACGGACTGACCACCCATGTGCGGGGTCTGGCACCCTCCTTGAAAGGTGTTCCCTCTTGACTTACATACCTCTTCCACACATACCACGTATGTTCCCATATTTTTAACTTTTTACAAGTTATATTTTGGGGGGCGCCTGGGTGGCTCAGTTGGTTAACGGTCTGCCTTCTGCTCAGTCCTGATCCCAGGGTGCCCAGAACGAAACCCGCATCGGGCTCCCTGCTCAGCGAGGAGTCTGCTTCTCTCTCTGCCTCTCCCCATCCCCCCCGCTCGTGCTCTCTCTCTCTCTCTCAAATAAATGATTAAAATCTTTTTTTAAATTATATTTTGAAAATGGGATTGTGGAGGAAGTCGGCTTTTGCTTAGCGGTCAGGTGAGGGCTTGGGAATTGCGTGCTTTGCAAAACAACGTTCAGCGCAAAATCTTGTAAAGCGAGTAATGACAGCTGAGCCTAAAGACGCACCAGACGCTGCTCGGCTCGTTTTGGGTCCCGTAGTTCGTCCGCTCCCAAGACTTGTCGAAGGGACGCGCTCACTTAAACAGGTCCTGGCGGTGCAGAGCCCACCGGCCGGGGCGGCCCCGGGCCGCGGCCAGGCGAGCTCCGGCGTGCTCCTGACCGCACCCTGCTTTCCCTAAAAACGGCCTCGTTAGAGGATGGGGGCCTGGGGAACCGGAGGGCAGGACCGAGAGCCGACCTGAGCCAAGGAGCCCGTCCGGGCACAGCGCACCGCCGCAGGGTATAGGGCTCTAAGACTCGACCCGCTCCCAAGGCCCCCACCAGGCCTGGCGCACCCCGGCCCCGGCCCCGCGGCGGGAGCCAACAGCTCGCCCCCACCGGTTGACGTTTGGCCGGAGGGCGGACCTGCACCCTGCTCAGCTCCGCCCCAAAGTTCCTCCTCGCCACGCCCGCCTCTTCCGACACCACGCCTGCGCAGGCGGCCAAGCCACGCCCTGTCTCTGCCCTCTGCGCGCGCAGCGCTCCCGTGAGGCAGTGCGAGGCGTGGAGCGCGGCGGCGGGTTTCTGAGGCGCGCGAACGGAGCTTCCAGAGGTGAATGGCGGCAGCCTCTCCGTGGGGCTGTGGGAGCGGCGCCGGTCCCCCAGCTGCCTCTTATAACCAGGCACCCCTGGGGACTCCTTCCAGGCGCGCGAGTCGGGGTCCGCAGGGCTTGGAGCCACGGGCGAGGGCGAGGGCGGGGAGTGCGAAGGCAAGCGGGAGGTGGGCGTCAGCGGGGAGCGCGGCGCGGGTGAGTGAGGCGCAGTCCGGTCGGGGGCGGGGCGGGAGCTGGGCTGATGCGGGTAG